CTTGAGTTCACCGCTAGCACTCCGGCCAATTCTCGTCCCAATTCCTCTGGTTCTGTCGTGCAGACTGAGCTATCATGGTTTTAACGTTTTGGTTAGCTCTTTCAGTCTGAATTTCCTGCGATGTATATGGCGCTGTGAATTGTTGCTTAATGCCCATTTCGCTGAGGAAATTCTTGAATGCTCGACTGGCAAACTGCACTCCATTGTCCGTTATTATCACCTTTGGGGCTCCTAACCAAGCGATGATTTTTTTCTCTTAATTCCTTTTGAAGTGTTTCTGCCGTTGCTGTTTGTAGTGGCACCAATTCTGTCCACTTTGAAAATCTTTCTTTCAGCACTAGCAGCATCTGGTTACCATGCTTCGATCTTGGCAATGGTCCGATAGGAATCTGCGTCAGCATTTTCCTAACCGCCTGCATCTGGTTATGTTTGTATTTAAGCATGTCTCGCTTTTACGTACGTGTGCTCGGGCGTCCATATGCATTCCTGGCCAGTAATATCGAGCCAGCAGCTTTGCAATCGTTTTCCGACTTCCCACATGTCCAGCGGCGGTGAGTCGTGATTCTGCTTTAAACGTCCCCTCAGTCCACTTGGGACACAGAGCTTCCATGCTGCCACGTCTTCCTGCTCTGTGCGGGATATGCCTTAATAAAGCGTCTCCCTCCATAAGGTAGTCCGTTGATTTTCTCACACATATCTTTGACCCAGCTGCATGCTCCGTGTGTGATCTCCGGAGTTTGCTTGGATAGTCTAAAGGCTTTTGACAGAGGCTTTCTCGACAGTGCATCAGCGACAACGATAAGCTGCCCCTTCCTGTACGATATTTTAAAATCATACTGCTGCAGGTTCAGGGCCCACCTCGCTATCCTTCCTGAGGGACTTTCGATGCTGTTCAACTATTTAAGCGCCATATGGTCCTTCCAAATATGGTTTAAGCTTCCGGAGCGCCCACACGATTGCCAGGCATTCCTTTTCGCTGGTTGAATAGATCTTTTCCGCGCCATTCAGGGTCCGGCTTGAATACGAAATGACCTTCTCGCCGTTTTCTGTTTCCTGCGTCAAGACTGCTGCTAGACCATAATCGCTTGCGTCTGTCTGCAGCACGGATGATTTGTCGAAATGTGGCACATGCCAGCACAGGATCGGCCACTAGCCTTGCCTTTACCTCCTCGAATGCCTGCTGGTGATCTATAGTCCATGTCCAAAATCGGGCACGAACCGCCTGTACCAAGGTGCTACGCCTAAGTATTGGCGCAGTTCCCGGATGGTTGCAAGTGGTTCCAACTCGGCTATGGCTGCTACCTCTTCGGGATCAGTGCCGATCCCTTGATTTTTATCGCGGTGTCCCAGGTGAAGCAGTTCGCTTCTGAAAAATTGAAATTTCTCTGGATTTATCCTTAGGTTTTCCAGCTTTAGGCGTCGGAAAACTTCTTTCAGGATTTGCCCGTGTTCCTCCAGTGTACGTCCGATCACGATAACATCATCCTGGTATGCGAATGCGTGGAGAGACGTTTCTGGCCCAATAACCTGATCTGAAAGGTTGCCAACGCGGAATGTAAGCCGAACGGCATCACTTTCAATTGAAATAGACCTTTTCCGGGCTCCGTGAATACCGTAAGTTGTATGCTACTTTCTTTTTTAGGGGAACCTGCCAGTAGCAATCTTTAAAGACTAGACTGCCAAGATGTAATTTATCCATGGCATCGGAAAAGCACCTTTAATAGATTTGGCACTGATCTATCTAAAGTCGACACAAAGCCTCCTCTGACCTGTCTTCTTTTTCACCATGACAATCAGGGAACTGTACGGTCTTCTCGAGTGTTTTATGCATCCCTTCTATATCAACTCGTCGACTTTCGCATTGATTTCCCCTTGAACCTTTGGATTTTTCGGGTAGTACATTTGCTTGATGGTGACTTGGTGCTTGGCATTGTTCAAAATTGCGAGAGCTCGGTATCTAAAAATTTGTCAATGACGTCCTTGTGTTGGACCACCGCCACTGACATTTTTTAATAGATTGTGGCTTTTTCTTTCGGAGATTATTACCTTATGTCCGGCACATTTTAGTTCCGCGCCGACTCCTGTGAGGAAATTCCATCCCAGCATCAGCGAGTCTTCACGGATCAGCAGGCTCACGGGCAAACGTTTGTTCCCAAAATCGAACTCTACCTGGAGCTGTGTGTTTATCTCGCTGCATCTGCCATCTGCTAACTTTACTTGCCGTCTCGTCTTGAAATTCTTCGTTCGCAAGCCAGTTTATCCGACAACTTCTCGCTTTTAAAGCTGCTTTTGCTCCTCTTTGATGAATTTGCCAGTTAGTTTGGAGAGACAGCACCCTGGTTGAGGGCCTCCCTATGGTGTTTGTGTGCTGCATCTGCTGAATCGCACTGGGTGGTGTCCACTGACCGTTTATAGGTGCTTGGCTTCCGCAACTGTCTTCACACCTCCTGCACGTGATTTGTGCTGGTTCTGCCGACTTAATATCCGCCATTCCTGGGATGTTTTGTGTTTTTGTGACATATTCCGCATGTCCTTCGACCTGCCCTCCAGGATAATTCAAGCTCGGCTGCCACTTTTGAGAAATCCTCTTTCTTGAGGAAATAGATCCATCCTTTCCCTTTACAAATTTCTTGTAAAGGACTCCTGGATCTGACTGAGATCTGTACCCCGGCCAGAGAGCATCCTTACAATACTAATTGAGCGGTTTTCCAAAAATAAATTCTTCACGGAAGCGATGTTTTCATCGGTAGTTGAGGTCAATGGTCGTCCAGAACGCGGCATGTTACTCACGCTTTCAAGGCCTTATTTAAGGTCTTTGTGCAAATGAATGTACGATTTTGTGATATAGAGCCACAAAAGGTTTTTTGCAACATTCTGGCCTTTTCCGCTGCAGAAAATCCGTTTATAGCTCCTATAGGAGCAGTATGGCAAAATTTCGCGTAGTTTATAAGCTGAGTCTATCCAAAACGTATTTATTAATGTTTACCGTTAAATCTTGGTGTCTTCTTGCCTCCACGGCCTTACCGTTCGAGGTCAACGCGAGCCGCCATTTTGCAGCCGCTATTTTGCAGCCGCCATTTTGAAGCCGCTATTTTGCAGCCGCCATTTTTATTTTCAGCAAGATCAAAATATTATTGTATTTATAAATAAAGAACACAGTCGACAATCAAAACCGTATGTTTCTTGCCATTTTATTATCCCGAAAAAAGTTAAGTAAATTTTTACGGCATCTTAACCTTGTACTGCAACCGCAAGTTGTTTAATTTTCCGCACTTTTGGGCTTAATCAAAATAACACTCTTACAGCTGACTTTTAAAGCGCACAAAACATCAAGCGGATTTCGTTTATACTATTAAGGCAACAATAAAACAAAACAAGAAAGAAAGCAAACTTCGGCAAGCCGAAGTTCATATACCCTTGCAGCTATTGCAAGAATTTAACATTTTTGAAAACATTAAAATTATGATTTACTGCGTATATGTTTAAAAACATTGAAGCTATGATGATTAGCAGCTCAATTATTTGATAGTTGTTTTATATATTTTTATTATTTCTATGGGAGCTATATGATATAGACGTCCGATTTTGATAAAATCTAAACCATAATTCTGAAATATTTAACCATTGCTATATGTCGAAGAACTGAACAAAAAATTAAAAAACAGAAAAGTTATAATTTTTTTCATTTATTTTTCCGATTGTTCCTATGGGAGCTATATGCTTTAGTTTTCCGATTTTGATATAATTTAAACCGTAAATCGAAAATATTTAACCATTACTAAGTGTCGAAGGACTAAACAAAAAATTAAAAAACAGCAAAGTTATAATTTTTTTCATTTATTTTTCCGATTGTTCCTATGGGAGCTATATGCTATAGTCGTCCGATTTTGATGAAATTTAAACCGTAAATCGGAAATATTTAACCATTACTAAACGTCGAAGAACTAAACAAAAAATTAAAAAACAGCAAAGTTATAATTTTTTTTCATTTATTTTTCCGATTGTTCCTATGGGAGCTCTATGCTATAGTCGTCCGATCCGGCTCGTTCCGACTTATATACTACCTGCAACAGAAAGACAACTTTTGGGAAAGTTTCATGCAGATAGCTTTAAAACTGAGAGACTAGTTTGCATATAAAAGGACGGACAGACGGACGGACTGACAGACGGACAGACGGACGGACAGACGGACGGACAGACGGACGGACAGACGGACGGACAGACGGACGGACAGACGGACATGGCTAGATCGACTCTACTAGTGATGCTGATCAAGAATATATATACTTTATAGGGTCGGAGATGTCTCCTTCACTGCGTTGCAAACTTCTGACTGAAATTATAATACCTTCTGCAAGGGTATAAAAAATGTATGCTATGGAATTTATTTGTTGAAATTTTTGACCATAGTGGTTAGAAAGTAACTCCAGTAAAATTTATACCCAGGTTCGATTCTTACTTGGATAAAGAACACATTTATTTTTTTTGTATGCCTACTGCATTACTACTCAGTATACGTTTATGAATTGTATAATGACTTGTTATCTGACCCCAAAGGCGATTTGGCTCTCGCATACTTTTCCCATTACGAGTAATGCAGATTGTATACGCCTTGCATTACAAGGCGACAATGCCGCCTGGCAAGGTAAACCAGGTTGTTATCTATTCTTTCCTGATTAGTGGATGTAAAAATGCATTCATAATCGATTTCGTAATGGCAATTTTCAACCCTGAGTGAACTTTTTTCAGAAAGTTACATATAAGATGAAAACCATTTAAACATTTTGTTAAAAACTTTCATATTATTAAAGCATTTGGTGATATCGATTTATTTATTAGCTACATTTAAATAGCGAAAATTTGTCCTTATTAAACAATAACATTATTCATTTTGGGATCAACATTCAAAATTTTCGCATGTAAAACTCATTTCTCAACAAAATTGAACTTCAAATTAAAAATAATTTCAAATATTCTTCCTGTTGTATTTTTAATTTCAGATTGGTTCAAGTAGAAATAGGTGTACTATCCCAAATTTCAGAAAATATAGGAGATATACCAAACCCATTTACCGACGCAAACGATTTGATAAATAATGCTTGTGAAGCTTCAATCTTACAGGACAGTGTTGACTTGGACAATATATTCGCATTTTTAGGTGAATCAACAGAAAGAGCACTTGGTAATCCACTCATTGAAGAAATTAATGACGAAATGAATAATTTGGTAAAAGATCTTGACGACGAAGTAAGTATTGCTTTTCTATAAAAAAAGTTCCGAAACATTTATTATATATAACGTAAAAACGAAAAACTAAGCCGCTACTTGATTATATATTGACTCCTTAAACTACACCTTAAATATCCTTATGCTTGTAGTTCCAAAGCACAAATGCTACGAAGGGGAAACGAATAAAAATGTTATGTGAGCAACAGTTACAACTTCGTATAAAAAAGATTTACCGGCAGAATGTTGAGGTTAATAACTTGTTAGATTTGTGAACCTTCCTCCTTCAAAATAAAATATAAAAATTTGTTTCGGTTAAAAGGCGTTTGTTTTTTTAAGAATTTAACCAATCTATTAAACCCTATCCTTATAACATGTATGGAAAGTCAAGCTATCATCCCTGGAGGATTTCATCGATTTAAATTTGTAAACCAGTTTTATTTGCCATCAACTCTGTAAATAATTATTTTCATAAAATTTATGATGTCTGGACCATTTAACACACCTTTAAAAAGTAAAAGGAAACTTTTAAGGAAAATTTAAAGAACTGCGGGAATACAAAAACGGTCGTCGGTATCGGATGCAATGGTAAAACCGTTAACAGCTGCCCATGTAAATAAAGTGGATGCGTGACTCAACGCCCAGTGTAATAACGTCCAACTTCAAAATGTCAATGCGCCCAAGTGCTTTATGACATTTTTAGAATAATCATTTAGCCCCCCAACATCTAAAACCGTGAAAAGGCATAGAGAAGCATAAGCTAACTGTTCACGCCAAGTAGGCGTTTGTATTTTCTGCCAGTGTAGAGCGACAGTTCTTGCAAAGGACTCTATCCGCTGTCCCTCCGCTCTCCCTCTCACCCTAAGACTCCGCTCCGCTTTGGAGAGCGTATTCGTATTCCTACGTGGGAATCGGTTTCATCATTCTTTCCAGCCAAATGAAGCCACTCCTCACCTCATCAGTTGGTCTTTCGATACGGATTTTCGATTCCATTCGCGGAGTAGTTTTTTCCACCAGCAGCTTCGGTGGCTTCAGAAAAGTCAATCTTTCATGTGTGATACAAAATTTTACCCCAGCCACAGTCAAATTTTCCGAACTCAATTTTTTCGCAAACATTTTTGTTTACTGTGATCCCGCTGCATGCGTTTTAAATTTTATACATATTCTTACACAGTCCACTACTAACGGAATTTGTCAAAAAAATTTAAATACCTTCCGGCAGAGCAATTGTTATTTAAATGTTCATTTTAATATCAAACGCCTTGCTATATATTATATTTGATTTGAAATTATCCGTAACTTCGTCTTATTATTTCTGTGAGAAAATTTTCCAAATCTTAAAATTCCGCTTCCGTAAAGATCCACGTTCAATTTAAGTGTTGTATATTCTTACGAATTTTATTTGGTTCCTTAACTTCATAGACTAATATGTTCAGCGAATGAGGAAAAAAATACAATTCTTATTGTTAGTGTGTGTGTTGCGTCTGCGGTCTAATACTGTTCGTACCGGCCACCGCTTTGCTGCTGTTCAGCCGACTTCACATTAGCTTATACTTTGTATATAGGCCACCACTGGCTTAAAGTAAATATTGCAATAGAAACTTTAAATATGGTATATAAACGATGGTAGTTTGTCAGCATCTTGTCTAGCCTTCTTCAAGCTGACTTAAGCTCGTTAGTGGGTGGTGTATCAATAATTTGTTCCCACTTAACTTAAATAAATGCTATTTCTTCATGTATAGTAAACGCACTTTTGATATTTTAAGTTCCTATTCATTGTACTGAGCATCTGAGCACCTTATCTATATTATACCCAAAGTCTATGCTATGCTTGGGTTTGTTAGGCGAAATAGTATGCATTTTGACCCTTATACTAAACTTACACTCTATTCAGCATTTGTGCGCTACAAATTACATAATGCCTCATTTGGAACCCTACGGCTTCTTCGCACGTTAATAGAATTGAACGCATTCAAATGAAATTTCTCAGATTTGTTCTTTCTTCACTTAATTTTGCTGACCCTTTGTCATCTTACTCTAGCAGATGTCGTCTTGTCCATCTCTCCAGCCTTGAAGACCGTAGGAAAATACAAGCGTTACTTATCCTGGATGACCTTCTTGCTGGCAGCCTTGATTGCCCTGTGTTGCTTTCCAAAATAGACTTTTGTGTGCCATGCATGTCTTTACGTTCTCACGAACCATTTTTTATTAAGCATTGTAGGACTAATTACGCCCTTTATGAGCCTATTTGTAGGGCATACAGTTCGACTTCAATTCCAACAAGCAATTTGTGCGATATTCTTTAGTTGAATATTTTTTAACTTGTTTTGTTTAGTTTTAAGATATTTATATATATAAATAAATAAATAAAATACTTTAAAGTCCCTGGAGCAGCAACAACAATTCTCTTCAGAAGCATTAATAAAGAAGTTGGAATTATTTAATAACATAAAAGGCCCATGTAAAAAAAAAAACTTAAATAGGAATGGAGTTCGCGATATCTGCTACCAAAAGTGCCTAAAAACTGGGGAAACTTAACCTTATAAAAACGGCCGTTCTTTGGGATCAAGAGTGGAGCTACAATGAAAAAACTTAATAAACCAAGTGTAATAAAATTCCAATTTAAAGGAACACGGTCCTTCAAAGAACAACAGTAACCTTGTGATAGGTGCAGAATATTGCTTATTGTGTTTTTTGTCGCCAAAGAATTGTGGAGCTAATAATAAGGGGAAAGTTACTTATTCATAGCATTTGTACCGTTCATTACCATAACATTTTATACCGTTCATTCTTGTGGCTTTAGTCAAAACTAATTTTTCATTACGAATTTAGGAACCATGATATTCAACAGGTCGACAAACCAATATCAAACCAAACTAATATCGTAGAGCTTCACAAGTCACAGAAAAGCCAGATTCTGGAGAATTTCTGAAAGTTATTTTGACCCTCAAATGCCCGAATCCAAAGCCGCCAGAAATTGCAGTTACCACTCCACGATCGCTGGTAACCAAATCCAGCACCCGAAAATTGAAAATTTTGGGTCCGTAGGTGTCTTAACATCATCGCATGTGCAGACAGGTGGTAACTCTCTGGGAACGCAGACTTTTGCACCCAAATGGTCTGATTTTCAATAAAATTTGAAACGTTATTCTAGAATATTTGACCATTACTAAAAAAAAATTGAAAAAAGAAAGGCAGCAAATTTCGGCTAGCTGATACTTATATATTCCTGCAGCTTTTGCCCAATTTAAATATTTTTAAGAGCATTAAAATTTTAATTTATATGAGTTTAAGTTTATATACATTGAAGCTATGAGGATTTTCTGCGATGGTTCCTATGGCAGCTATATGATTTCCTATGCCGATTTGAATTAAATTTAAATTTTGAATAAAAAATCAAAAAAAAAAAATTTAATTTTTTTTTATTTATTAATTTTAATATTGCGATTGTTCCCATGGAAGCTATATGATATAGTTGTCCTATTTTATTGAAATTTTAACCGTAAGGAACAGCAAGGTTATAATTTTGTTTAATTATTTTCGATTGTTCATATGCTACAGTCGTCCGATCCGGCTCGTTCCGACTTATGCGCAACCTGCAATAAGAACACAATTAGTTTGCGTAGAAACGGACGGACGGACAGACGGACGGTCCTATTGATGCTGCTCAAGAATATTTATGATGATGACTCCTTCACTGCGTTAAAAACTTTTGACTGAAATTATGATATCCTCTGCAAGGGAATAAAAAAAGCAAAGCTATATTTTTTTTATGTAAAAACGGACGTTAAAAACTTTTGACTGAAATTATGATATCCTCTGCAAGGGAATAAAAAAAGCAAAGCTATATTTTTTTTATGTAAAAACGGACGGGCGGACGGACAGACCAACGGACATGGCTAGATCGACTTCGTAGTGATGCTGATTAAGAATATATACTTTATAGTATCGGAAATGTCTCCTTCACTTCGTTGCAAACTTCTGATTGAAATGATAATACCCTTTGTATGATTATAATTACCAACAAGCTGTCGATACATGCAACTTCAGTTGGCGGGTCCAGCAATACACCGTTCGCCCACGTCGACAATATTGTAGCCGCAGTGTTTGTATGATTAAGAACTTATTAGTGAGTTTTCGCATAGCGCAATAATAATGCACAAGTAAATGTATTCCGTTCAATTTAAAAAAAATTTACGTTGGACCCAAATATAAAAGAAGAGTGTTCCGGAACCCAATTTCCAAAAAGGTATTTTTTTATGTTCTTATATATAGTACATATACAAATATTTCTGCGAAAAAGTATCCATAAAACACTAATTAATCATAAACAGATAATTAAAGTATAGTTTAAATATAAAAATCTAGCGGAAATTGATACACCCTTGCAGCTAGTGCAAAAATATTATTAAAACCCGTACATTTTGAATTACATGCGTATATGTTTAAAAACATTAATGCTACGATGATTTTTAGCTAAATTTATCGATCGTTTCGATTTTAATAAAATTAAAAGTTTAATTCTGAATTTTTAAACTGTAATTATCTCCGAAAGAATTAAACAAAAAGAGAAAAATCAATTTTATTTTTCATACTTTTTTTTTAATACCGGCTGTTTCCATTGGCTCTCTAAGCTTTAGTAATCTGATTTTAATCAAATCTGAATTATTAAACTGTAATTATGTCTAAAAAAATTAAACAAAAAGAGAAATATAAATTTTATTTTTCATACTTTTTTTTGATACCGGCTGTTTCCATGAGCGCTTTAGTAATTTGATTTTAAATTAAATTTAAACCTTATTCTAAAATAATAAACCAGTACTATTTATCGAAGAACTAAAAACTTTAAAAAACAGCCAAACTATAATTTGTTTCATTTTTTTCCTATTATTCCCATGGAAGCTATTTTATATGGTCGGCCAATTCAGCCCCTTCCGACTTATAAACTGCCTGCAATTGAATGACAACTTTTGGGAAAGTTTCATGCAGATAGCTTTAAAACTGAGAGACTAGTTGGCGTT